GAATTTTACATGTTAAAAAAAAACCATAAATAAAGTCAAAAGACAATTGCCAAACTTGGAGAAAATATAATAAGAGCTAATAACCCTAATTACAGGGTAGGGCAAAAGTAGGTTTATAGTTTGAATGCATGGAACAGTTTATTCTAGTATTATTATTTATTAATTACTGTATTATTTTCCATATGAACAGCTGTAAACCTGCTTTTGCCTCACTCTGTATATTGGACCTTAAAAGTGGAGGGACAGAGACCAAAACTCAGTGGAAAAATGGGGAAGCCCTGGCCAGGTAGCTTAGCTTGTTAGAGCATTGTCCTGATACTCCAAGGTTGCCAGTTGAGTCCCCCAGTCAGTGCATGTACAACAACCAATGAATGCATAAATAAGTGGAACAATAAATTGGTGTTTTTTCCTCATCTTCCTCTGTCTCTTCTCCCTCTCTTTCTTACTCTCTCAAAACAAAAAAAAATTTTTTAAATTATTTAAAAACAAAAAGTGGGGAAAAGGTATGAGCTAATAATTTACCCATAAAAATGAATCACAAACATGAGAAAATGCTCCAGCATACTCATAATTAAAGAAATGTAAATTAAATGATATCTTACCCAGATATCTTACCCACAATATCTTACCCAGACTGGCACAAATTTGAAAATACGGTACTTTTGATGGGGCTCAGGGAAACAGGCATTTTTTTTGTACACTGCTGATGGAAATGCAAATTGCTGCAACCCTCTCTAAAGAAATTTGGTAATGCCTAACACAAAATTCCATAGTCATATACGTTTTGACCCAGTAGTCCTATTTCTAGCAATTTATACTGAAGATAGATCTCCAACATTATGAAAGTACATTATGTATGAGGTTAGTAATGCAGCATTGTTTATTAACTACAGAATACTTGAAATACCCTAAATATAGATACATAGAGTATTGAACAAACTGAGACATCCACAACATGGAGTATTACAGGGCAACTATACTAAAAGATGAGGAAAATTGAACCTATAGAGTGATTTTTTTGAAATACTGTTACATGGAAAAAGCAAAGCCCCAAAGCATATGCTACCCTTCATGTATGAAAGAACATTTGCCAGGTGTCAATTTAATGTCTCTCATCTACAAATTTACCTTTTTTTTTTTTAACTTTTTTTATTGATTATGCCATTACATTTGCTCTATTTCCCCCCTCCATTCCCCTCCACCCTGCATACCCCTCCCCCACCATTTCCCCCTTTAGTTCATGAACACGTGTCTCAAATTCTTTAGATTCTGTATTTCCCCTGCTATTCTTACCCTCCCCCTATCTATTTTCTATCTACTGTCTATGCTACTTATTTTCTGTACCTTCTTCCCCCTTCCCCTCCTCCCACTCCCCTGTTGCTAACCCTCCATGAGATCTTCATTTCTATGGTTCTGCTCCTGATCTAGCTGTCCTCTTAGTTTGCTTTTGTTTTAGGTGTGGTTGTTAATAACTGTGAGTTTGCTGTCCTTTCACTGTTCATCTTTTTTATCTTCTTTTTCTTAGGTAAGTCCCTTTAACATTTCATATAATAAGGGCTTGGTGCTGATGAACTTGAATTTGGTCTTATCTGAGAAGCACTTGATCTGCCCTTCCATTCTAAATGAAAACTTTGCTGGGTAGAGCAATCTTGGTTGTAGATCTTTGGTTTTCATGACTTGGAATACCTCTTTCCAGCCCCTTCTTGCCTGTAAGGTCTCTTTTGAGAAATCAGCTGACAGTCTGATGGGAACTCCTTTGTAGGTGACTGTCCCCTTAGCTCTTGCTGCTTCTAGGATTCTCTCCTTCATTTTAATCTTGGCTAATGTAATGATGATGTGCCTTGGTGTGTCCCTTCTTGGGTCCAACTTTTTTGGGACTCTCTGAGCTTCCTGGATTTTTTTGGAAGTCTATTTCCTTTGCCAGCTTGGGGAAATTCTCCTTTATTATTTGTTCAAATAAGTTTTCCACTGGTGGCTGTGCCTTTCCCCCTTCTGGTACCCCTATAATTCGGATGTTGGAACGTTTAAAGATGTCCTGGAGGTTCCTAAGCTTCTCTTCATTTTTCTGAATTCTTATTTCTTCATTCTTTTCTGTTTGATCATTTTTTTCTTCCTTCTGGTCCACTCCCTTGGTTTGAGTCCCAATTTTCTTTCCATTACTATTGGTATCCTGTGTATTTCCCTTCATTTCAATTAGTTTAGCTTCCATACGTTTCTCTAATTTGTGACTAAAATCAACCAGTTCTGTAAGGATCCTGATAACCAGTGTTTTGAACTGTGCATCTGAAAGACTGGCTATTTCTTCATCGCTTAGATCTATCGGTTCTGGGGCTCTGAGTTGTCCTAGAGCCATTTTTGGTCTATTCGTGCTGTTAAGTAAGCAGAGCGAAGTCTTAGTTGTTTACCAGGACGGGGAGACCCAGGTCGCTGGTTTGTGACCCTGTGTGAGGGAGCATGGTCAGAGAGGGAGCAATGGCGGTCCTCTCCGCTAGCCCAGCCCGTCCAGTCACACCACACACCTCGGGCTTGTTTATCCGATTGGAATTGTGCGAGCCTGCTGCCCGAAGCAGGCTCCCCTCCTCAGTGGTTTCTCCGCACGCAGGTGCGCGACCGCACGCAGGTGCGCGACCGACCGCAGACAGCCCTCTGCGCCTCTTCCTTGTGCACTCCCGTAGCCAGCTCGCTCTCGATCAGCGCTTTTGGTTGCTTGTGCGCTCACCACGCACCACCCGGGAATTTTTTCTTGCTAACCTGTTCCGCTGCTGGCTTCGCTCCTCATACCGGTCCAGCTGAGTATCTAGTTGTCCTTGGGACTCCGTATTGTTGATTTTCCGTGTGGCTTGGTTGTGACTGCTGTTAAAAATAGTTGTTCTTAGATTTGGTTGTGCACAGAGGCAAGGTGGTTCCTCCACCTACATCTCCATCTTGGCGGAAGTGCCCAAATTTACCTTTTTTGATGTGCTTTCTAAAATGGGTCTTGGCCCTTTAAAGTTTTTCCTTTGCCAATTAGCAGAGTGTTAAGCTTTGTCAATAACGGGCACAGGAGAGACTTTGCAGGAAGAGTTTTGCCTCCTGGTTGGGCAGGCTCAGCAGGATCCTGCAGTGCACAGTTTCCCCAGTGCCCAGTTCCTAGAGTGCCCATTAGTCATTAACACCCATCACCCAGTTGCTTTCCCTGCCACTTCACTCCCCTTGACACCTCCCCTAGACAGCTTTTCCTGGCATTCTTGAGGTGGACTTCCAGCAGGACCCACTGATGGTGCAGCATAGCAACTTTTCTGTCATTCATTGAGTACAGCCATGCCCATCCCAGCAAGGTCTGGAGCTTAGTCCTGAGGGGAGAAAAGGAGACTTCTGGGGTACTTTTTCTCAGACGAAGGGGTAGGGTACTCCTTATATCTGTTATTTCTATATTCTGTAGCACTGCACTTACTTGCCAATCCCTCATTACTCCAGTCCTCTGTTAAAGTTAATAATTCTTTACATTAATCTTTCTCTGTTCAATTTTTGTCTCACTGTGCTTAATTTTTTTTCTCCTAGTAGAACTCAGACTGATACAGAAAGGAATATGAGAAAACACTAGGTATCTACTTATTTAAACAAAAGAAATGGAAAGGATAAACCAGAACTATAGAGATTAATTATCTATGAGGGTAGAAAGTAAGGAGGAAATGGGAACAAGTTAGTAGAGGGACAGAGATGGAATGATACTTTTCTTAGTATATTTTTTATAACTGACTTTTAGAACCATAGTGATGTTTCACATATTTTTCACTTGCCCCAAAAGTAATCAGACAATTAAAATCACCAGGATATGGGTTGGGCAGCCCAGAATAGAATACAAAACCAACAAGGGAGCCTAACAGTGCTATAAAAGAATGGCATGATTACATTGAAGAGAAGGGGAAGAAGGAGATAATCTGAGCTCTGTGCTGAAGTGTATCTGGACTCAGTGTTACAAGACTGAAGACCCAAAGAACTGTTTGTCAGTCAGTGTTTCTCATAGCTGTGTGGGTTAGCAACTTGGAAAGTGTGGGTGTTCTAGAATTAAGGTAATGAGTCGTAAACAATGGGAATTGGGTTTTCCACTTGTAGAGAAAGAAGTTTAAACAAGGAAAGGTTGAAGGATAAGGTGAATACTGCGATTTTAGTTTGGGATTGGAAATATCAGTATTAACTCATGGTTTTAAATATAAAACAGATGGAAAAATACAGGTATTTGTACACGTATGGGTTAGTATTGATGTGTTTCCTACCTGGGCTGAGAGGCCTAGAAACAGTGACTGCAGTAACAGTGAGAATGCCTGGAGCCCGGGTACTGGTCTCCAAACCCGAGTCTCCAATGAAGGAATTCGGGCTCCCAGGGGAAGCTGCTGATTCCAGGGCTGAGACAGGAAAATAGAGGGTGGGCCTGGAGCCTCCTGTCATGCCAGAAAGTAAGGATAGGCAACAGCAACAATAACAAAAAAGCTTGTTGAAAAAAACAGGAGCCAACCTGAAGAAGCTTCTAATGGCCAAAGCTAGAGCAATTTAAGCAACAAAATGATGATAGTATTAGGTTTTAACCTACAGAATAAAATAAATACCTATGAGTTTAACATAATTGATTACTATATTTTTTGGACCATAAGATACACTTAGGTTTTAGAGGAGGAAAATAGGGGAAAATTTTTGAAGCAAAAAATGTGGTAAAATATTTAATAACATAATATTTGGGCATTAAAATTTAAAAGGGCATTAAATTTAAGTATTTGTTAAATTCTATAAAGGTCTATAGTTAATAATATCGTATTAATGTTAATTTCCTTGTTTTGATAGGCTATAGTCATATAAAATGTTAACATAGGATAATCCAGTTGTGAGACATAAGAGAACTCTTTGTACTATTTTTGTAGCTTTTAAGTCTAAAATTTATTCAAAATTTAAAAATTAATATTAAAGATGTGTTTGAAGCCCCAGTAAAGAATGTTGATGTTTGATTTTCTTTGTATTTATGACAGGGTTAGAAAGAGGCTTTTGGAACATCGAGAAGAAACAATAACTATAGATCGAGTCTGCAGACAAGAAACATTTGCATACGAGATGGTAAGAGTCATTTTATTTACCTTTTCCCATGAAACAATAAACTCATTGCGTGAGAGTTAGTGATAACTGTATGGTGGCCTTATACCTAGTTGAAAGCAAAGAAACTGTTGGGATTGGGAAGTAGTAGAAGAAAAAGACCCTTAGAATTTAAGTGGTGACATAATTTACTCTCAAATCACTGTCTTTTTTTTTTTCTTTAACATATTATTATTTATTTATTTTTAGAGAGAAGGGAAGGGAGGGACAAAGAACAAGAAACATCAGTGTCTGAGAGAAACATTGATTGGTTGCCTCTCACAGGTCCCCAGCCAGGAACCTGGCCTGCAACCCAGTCATGTAACCTGCCCAGGAATTGAATAGGCAACTTTCAGATTTGCAGGATGGTACCCAGTTTACTGAGCCACATGGATCAGGGCTGTCTTTATTTTGGGGGTTTAGCTTGGTCTTGCTCTGTGTTAGGCTAAATTCATGCCTTTTCACCACTCTGTTCTTGGTATTTTTGTTCTGCTCCTGATCTTAGTTTCACTACTTTTCCCCCTAATCTATCATCTCTTCTGTAAAACTCTCAGAAAATTTAAGATGATGGGTAATGAGGAATGTGGTAATAGACATCTTGAAAATCTATAATGTGCCACACATGGCGTTGGGCACTTACTAGTGTATAGGGGCATGTATTGTTTTTCTCACTTATTTTTTATCATGTTAAAATTTATGTAACAATTTACTGTTTTAACAACTTTTAAATATTCATTTAAGTGGCATATATATTCACAATACTTTGTAAACATCACCAGAATCTTTTATCATCCCAAGCAGAAATTCTGTGACCGTTACAGTAAACTCCCCCCTTTTCCTTCCCTAACTCCTGGTAACCTCTGTTCTACTTTCTCTGTGAATTGGCTTATTATAGATACTTCATATAAGGGGAATCATGCAATATTTGTCCTTTTGTTTCTGGCTTATTAGCATGTTTTAAAAGATCATCTGTGCTATAGCATGTAACAGAACTTCATTCCTTTTTATACCTGAATAATTGATCATATGGATGTAACACCTTTTGTTTATCCATTTGTCTGTTGGTGAACGTTTGGTTTTCTTCCACCTTTTGGCTATTATAAATAACACTGCTGTGAACATTAGTGTACAAGTGTGAGTTCAGTTTCAGTTCTTTATAGTATATACCTAGGAGGACCATTGCTCGGTCATGTGGTAATCCTATTTTAACTTTGTGAGCAACCACCAAACTGTTTCCCACAGTGGCTGCATCATTTTAGATTCTCACCAGCAATGCAGGAATGTTCCAGTTTCTCCACATCCTCATCAACACGTCATTATCTGGTTTTTTATAATAACCATCCTAGTATGTGGGAAATGGTATCTTATTATGGTTTTCATTTGCATTTCCCTATTAATTAGTGATGTTGGCAGTCTTTTCATGTGTTTACTGGTTTGTATATTTTCTGTGGAGAAATGTCTATTAAAACTTTTTGTCAATTTTTTTAAAAGATTTTATTGATTTCTTTCTAGAGAGGGGAAGGGAGAGAGCTAGAAGGAGAGAAACATCAATGTGTGGTTGCCTCTTGCAGGCCCCCCACTGGGGGCCCAGCCCCGCAACCCAGGCACGTGCCCTGACTGGGAATGGAACTGGCAACCTTTGGTTCTCGCAGGCCAGCACTCAGGCCCCTGAGCCACACCGGCCAGGATTTTGTATATTTTTGATACTAGATTCTTGCCATATATATAATGGAAAAATATTTTTTATCATTTTATGGTCTGTCTTTTCATACTCTTGATAGTGTGATATATAAAAGTTTTTAAATTTGACGAAATTGAATTTATCTGTTCTTTTATTATCTGCATAGTTGGTGTCATACTAAAGAAAATATTGCTATATCCAATGCTTGAATATTTTCCCCTATGTTTTTTTTAAGAGTTCTATGATTATAGCTCTTAGTTTAAGCCTTTGATCCATTTCGAATTATTTTTATATACGCTATTAGGTAAAGGTTCAACTTTATTCTTTTACATATGGATATCCACTTTTCTTAGCACAAGTTGAAGAGTGTCCTTTCCTTATTGAATGGTCTTGGAACCCTTGTTGAAAGTAGGTTGCATATTAACTTTATTTCTGAGTTCTCTAGTCCATTGATCTATATGTCTGTCTTTAGCCTGATACCACATTGTTTTGATTACTGTAGCTTTTTGTGATCATTTTTTGAAATTTGGAAATGATAGTTTTCAATTTTGTTCTTTTTCAAAACTTTTCAGGATGGGTTTTTCTATGTTTACAAATAATTGAGATTTTGATAGGGATTGCATTGAATCTATGTATCATTTGGGTACTATGTCACCTTAACAATATTAACTCTTTCAATCCATGAGCGGAGATACAAGGTTTATAGTTTTTTTATATGGAAGTCGTCATGTCTATTGTTACATTTATTCCTTTCAATGCTATTTTAAATGAAATTGTTTTCTTAATATTTTTCAAAGATTATTCATTGCTACTGTATAGAAGTAGCAATGAAAAAATATAACTGATTTTTGTGTTTTGGTTTTACATCCTGAAACTTTGTTTAATTACTTTATTAGTTCTAACAGGGTTGTTTTTTTTCTGTGAATTCTGCAGGATTTTGTACATAGAAGATTAAGCATGTCATGATTCTATAAACATAATTTTATCTCTTTCCAATTCAGTTGCTCACTTGCTCTTTCTTCTTTCCTTTCTTCCCTTTCTCCCCTTTGCTGTGGTTAGAATTTCTAGAACTCTGTCGAAAGAAGTGGAAAGTACACATTCTTGCATCAGTCTTTCACTATTAAGTATGATTTTAGTTGTGACATGTTCACATATGGCCTTTATCATTGTTAAATTCCCTTCTATTCTTAGTTTTTTTAGAGTTTTAACGTAAAAAGAGAATTGGATTTTGTCAAATGCTTTCTGTAGTGTCAGCTGTGATGATGATAGGGGTTCCCCCCATCATTCTATTAGTGTGCTATATTACATTGGTTAATTTGTATGTGTTGAACTAATTCTTGATTTTGAACATAAGTCCAACTTGCTCGTGGTGTATAACCTTTTTAATATGCTGTTGAATATAGTTTGCTAGTATTTTTTTTTTAGTTTGGCAATTATATTAATGAGGTATATTGGCCTGTAATATTCTTGTAGTGCCTTTGTTTAATTTTGGTATCAGAGTCTGCTCACCTTTGAATGAGTTAGGAAGTATTCCCTCAACTTGAAAGACTTTTTCAGACTTGGAGAATGATTGGTGTTATTAACTTTCATTGCTATTTGGTAGAATTCACCAGTGAAGTAATCTAGTCCTGGGCTTTTCCTTCATTAGGAGAGTTAGTCTTTACTTACATAGATCTATTTATATTTTCTATTTCTTCTTGAGTCAGTTTTGATTTCATCCTGCTGGCTTCAGATTTAGTTTGCTTTTTTTTTTTCTAGTTCCTAGTTGTTTACAGTTAGGTTATTGATTTCAGATTGTTATCGTAAACTTTCAGATTGCTACACTCTTTTATTAAGGTAGATGTTTATAGCTCTAAGTGTTTCTCTTTGTACTGCTTTTGCTGTATTTCAGGGTTGTTGTTTTTTTTTCCTAAGATTTTATTTATTTATTTCTAGAGAGGGGTAGGGAAGGAGAAAGAGAGGGAGAGAAATATAAATGTGTGGTTGCCTCTTGCATGCCTCCAACTGAGGACCCGACCCTGCAACCTAGGCATGTGGCCCTGACTGGGAATCAACCTGGCAACCCTTTGGTTTGCAGGCTGGCACGCAGTCCATTGAGCCACACCAGCCAGGGCCATTTTATGTTTCTTATGTTATGTTTCCTTTTCACTTGTCTCAAGGTATTTTCTAATTTCCCTCATGATTTCTTCTTGACCCACTGGTTGTTCGAGTGTTTGTTAAGTTCCACATACCTGAATTTTCCAGCTTTCCTCCTGTTACTGATTTCAAGTTTCATCACTTGTGATTGGAAAGATATTTTTGTCCTGGCCAACTGAGCTACTGCTCAATTGGTTAGAGCATCATTCCAATATGACAAGGTTGCAGGTTTGATCCCTGGTCAGGGCATATACAAGAGTCAACCATGAGTACATAAACAAGAGGAACAACAATTTGATGTTTCTCTCTCCCCCTCTCTCTCCTCTTCCCTTCCTTCCTTCGTTTCTCTACCTAAAATTAATAAATTAAAAAAAAAACTTGTATCGACTTCCACCAAGATGGAGGTGTAGGTGGAAACACTTTGCATCCTCACACAACCAAATCTAAAAACAACAAAGTTTTAACGACAATGAACGCAACCAAACCACACAGAAAATTGAATACAGAGTCCGAAAATAATGAACTGCTCTGCTAAATCAGTGAGAGGGGTGAAGCCAGCAGCAGAGCGGGTCGGGCAAGAAGATCCTCTGACCCTGGTGGTGCACGGCAGCCAGGGGCGCAGATTTCAGATGCAGGCTAGCTACGGGCGGAACCCAGGGAAGAGGTGCAGCTGGCTGTCTGCAGTTGGTCGCACATTTGCACGCAGATAAACCAGTGAAGAGAAGAGCATTGAGGCCGACTGCACAGGCCCCGGTGGCCGGCGCAGGGCGGCAGGCTCACACATTTGTGCTCAGATAAATAGGCGGCGGTGAGCGGAGAGGACTGCCTTTCTGACCCTGCCTCCACATACAGCGTCACAAACCAGCGACCTGGGTGGCCCTGCCTTGGTGAACATCTCAGGTGCCTCTCCTCTTACGTAACAGGCACAAACAGATCAAAACATGGCTCAAGAAGAACTCAGAGCCCCAGAGCCAATAAATCTAAGCGATGAAGAAACAGCCAAACTTTCAGATGCACAGTTCAAAACACTGGTGATCAGGATGCTCACAGAACTGGTTGATTTTAGCCACAAATTAGAGGAACAAATGAAGGCTAAACTAATTGAAATGAATGGTAATGCACAGGAAACCAATAGTAATGGAAAGGAAACTGGGACTCAAATCAAGGGAGCAGACCAGAAGGAAGGAAAAAATGACCAGAAAAATATGAAGAAACAAGAAATCAAAAAAATAAGGAGAGGCTTAGGAGCCTCCAGGACATCTTTAAACATTCCAACATCCAAATTATAGGGGTACCAGAAGGGGAAGAGTAAGAGCAAGGGGAAAACTTACTTGAACAAATAATAAAAGAGAACTTCCCCAATCTGGCAAAGGCAACAGACTTCCAGAAAGTCCAGGAAGCTCAGAGTCCCAAAGAAGTTGAACCCAAGAAGGAACACACCAAGGCACAACATCATTACATTAGCCAAGATTCAAATGAAGGAGAGAATCCTAGAAGCAGCAAGAGATAAGGGGACAGTCACCTACAAAGGAGTTCCCATCAGACTGTCAGCTGATTTCTCAAAAGAGACCTTACAGGCAAGAAGGGGCTGGAAAGAAGTATTCCAAGTCATGAAATCCAAAGACCTACATCCAAGATTGCTCTATCCAGCAAAGTTTTTATTTAGAATGGAAGGACAGATAAAGTGCTTCTCAGATAAGGTCAAATTCAAGGAGTTCATCATCACCAAGCCCTTATTATATGAAATGTTAAAGGGACTTATCTAAGAAAAAGAAGATCAAAAAAGATGAACAGTGAAAGGATCAGCAAACTCACAGTTATTAACAACCACACCTAAAACAAAAGCAAATTAAGAGGACAGCTAGATCAGGAGCAGAACCATAGAAATGAAGATCACATGGAGGGTTAGCAACAGGGGAGTGGGAGAAGGAGAAGGGGGAGAAGATACAGAAAATAAGTAGCATAGATGGTAGGTAGAAAATAGATAGGGGGAGGGTAAAAATAGTATTGAGAAATATAGAATCTAAAGAACTTGAGACATGTATTCATGAACTAAAGGGGGGAATGGTGGAGGGTGTGCAGGGTGGAGGGGAACGAAGGGGGGGAATAGAACAAATGTAATGGCATAATCAGCAAAATAAAAATATATATTAAAAAGAAGATTCAAAAAATAACATCGTTTTTTTAAAAGATACTTTTTATGATTTTAGTCTTTGAAGTTTATGAAGACTTGGTGGTCTGTCTGAAGAATGGTTCTTGTGTACTTGAGAAAAACGTGTATTCTGCTATTGTTGTAGTGTTCTCTATTACTGTTAGGTCTTACTGGTTTATAGTGTTATTCAAAGCTTCTGTTTCCTTGCTAATTTTCTGTCTGTTTTTTCTAGTGATTGAAATTGAAGTATTGGCATTTCTAACTGTTAACTGTAGAACTTTATATTTCTCCCTTAAGTTCTATCAGTTCTTTTCTTCATGTATTGTGGGGTTTTGTTTTAGCTGTATATATGTTTATAATTACTGTATCTTCTTGCTGGATTGCACCTTTTACCAATATATGTCTTTCTTTGTCTCTTATAACGTCTTCTAATTGTCTATTTTGCCTGAGAATAATATAACCACCCCACTTTCTTTTGGTTACTATTTGCCCATCCTTTTCCCATCCTTTTACTTTCAGCCTCTTTGTGTCTTTATATCTAAAATGAGTCTCTCTGCCCTGGCTGGTGTGACTCAGTACTTAGAGCGTTGTCTGGTAACCAAAGGGTTGTGGGTTCAGCCCTAGTCCCTGCTTGGGCACCTGCAGACCCCATCTATGTGCGAACAAAAGCAACCAGTTGATGCTTCTCTCACACTGATGTTTCTTTCTCTTCCTTCCTTTCTCTCTAAAAAAGCAAATGAAATGTTCTCAGGTGAAGATTAAAAAAACAAATATTTAAGTAAAGTTATTCTCTTTTAGAGAATATATATATGTGGATCAAATTTGTTATCCAGTCTGCCAGTCTTTTGCTTTTTTAATAGGAAAACTTACTCCATTTTATTTAAAATAGTAACTTTTATTTGGCTGTTTGTTTGCTATATATATCTCTGTTCCCTAGTTCCCACATTCCTGCCTTCTTTGTATTTAGTTGAATATTCGTATTTTCTTGAAGTAGAATTGGAGTCAGAATCAGGGCTATTTTACTCAGTTATTGCTTAAAGCTGTTGTTCCACACTGCCTCTTACCTGAGTCACAATGTCTGGTTTTAAGATCTCTTATTAATTTGTTTTCCTCCCTCAGGAGTCACGTGCTGTGGGGAAAAAGCCTGAAAATGCAGCAGACATGATAGAAGAAGGGGAACTTATCCTGTCTGTGAATATCTTGTACCCTGTTATATTTCATAAGGTCAGTAGTAAAACCTTTTGGATTTCATAGATACTGTGAATGACTTTTGTCAAATGGTTTAATTATTTGAAGAGCTGTGTTCCTAGGGTTCAAAATACGTGCCATCAAATACTATTTTATCTGGCATTCTGCTTATATTCTTCTTTGTTTTAATAAAGAATATTATAAATAGGTCAAATTTCAAATAACCTGTTGATTAATAGGATTGCAGTTTCAGTGTTAGAATGCATACCCTGGTTTTTGCAATAGAAGCAACTGCAAGTATATAGAAATGCACAATGATTCTAATTATTATCATGTCTTGAGGGTTTGTCCCCCCCCCCGCAGAGGGAGTGGGGTGATTTTTATTCACCAGTTTAGAACACGTGGGAAGTTGTTTAACTAATGACAGTTCTTCTTTGATGAAAATGCAGAAAGTCAACAGGTCAGGAGTATTAGGAATTCTTAGGCGGTTCTGATAAAAAGAACTATCTCATACAGAGTATGTGTATTTTTGATTCCTCACATCCATGCCATGAACTTTGATAAGGCTTAATTGTAATATTACTGTACATAAACTGCACTTGTAGGCTTTTTTGAAGCATCTGGAATATAGTGAGTACTAATTGTCTTGTTTGATGAAGATCTCAAATTACCAAACAAACAAAACAACCAATAAAATGGAACCTCTGGGTTTATAACATTAGGGTACTGAATAGATTGCTTGACTTTACTGTGGTAACTTCTAGGAAATTTTAAAAGACAGTGCTGCAGATGAAGTTACAGTCCACAGGCTTTGCATTCTAATGTCATAGTGGCTTCTTGATTATAAACTTTTGCTTCAACAAGTTTTATTGCTGCGTATCTTAGGTCATTCCAGCTTCTGTAACAAAATGACTGACTGGGTAGCTTATAAACAACAGAAACTTATTTTTGATAGCTCTGGAGGCTGGAAGTCCAAGATCAGGGTGCCAGCATGGTCAGGTTAGGGCTCTCTTCTGGGGTGAAGGCCTCACATGCTAGAAAGGGCTAGGGAGCTCTGTGGGATCTCTTTTATAGGAGCACTATCCCACTTATGAGAACACTCTCATGACCCAATTACTTTCCAAGGGCTCCACCTCCTAGTACTGTCACTCTGGGTGCTAGGATTGCAATATGCAAATTTTGGGCAGAGATAAGCATTCAGACCATTGGACCAAGTGTCTCAGTTATACCCATAGATTATAATTTACAAAAGTGACCAAGTGACAACACTAGAGGCTAATGCCATTGAAAGAAGATTTTTATTGCTTACACTTCCTGAGAGAGAGGCTATGCCATGCTGTGTAGCACCACAGAGGAAAACACCAGTGTCAGGTGGCAGAAAGGAGGGCGGCGAGGGCATAGGCCACAGCCTTTATTAGGGTTTCAGCAAGAAAGGCAAGCAAGGCAAGGCAGAACAAACAGTTTGAGTTAGCTAGTTTGAGAAATTCTAGTGGGCTCTGGGGCATAGGGGTTGTCCTTAGTTATCTGTACCTGGTTCTCAATTTAGGATAGATGAAATGTTGCCTTGGTATGTGAGAATTAGATGAAAGAGCTAGTTTGAAAGTTCAGGCTCTGTATCATAAAGGAGATGTAAACAACTTTGGCCATTAGTTTGGACCTGTAATTAGTGAATGTCAAATAGACAAATACAGAATTTAAGAAAACATCAAAAACCAAGTTATAGGGATAACTTAAATCAAGAAAACTAGTAACAATTCATATCTGATCATGATAGGATAGTGTAACTGCTTGTCTCTAAGGGGACACTTATTTATATACTTTTTAATTTTTAGCACAAGGAACACAAACCATACCAGACAATGCTGGTATTGGGCAGTCAGAAGCTCACGGAACTAAGGGATTCAATTTGCTGTGTCAGTGACCTCCAGATTGGTGGGGAGTTCAGCAATACTCCTGACCAAGCCCCTGAGCACATCAGCAAAGTAAGATTTTTTTTTTTGTACCCCAGTAAAGCAAGGGGAAATAATGATAATAAACCAAGGAAGTAAGGTTACTCCAGCATGCTTTTTTCTTTCATTTTCTTTTATTTTTAAAAAGATATATTTTATTGATTATGCTATTACAGTTGTCCCATTCTCTCCACTTTATCCCCTCTACCCTGCATACCCCCTCCCACCCGCATTCCCCCCCTTTAGTTCATGTCCATGGGTTGTGCATGTAAGTTCTTTGGCTTCTACATTTCCTATATGATTCTTAACCTCCCCTTATTTTCTACCTACCATTTATGCTACTTATTTTCTGTACCTTTTCCCCCTCTCCCACTGTCTAGCTGATAACCCTCCATATGATCTCCATTTCTGTGATTCTGTTCCTGTTCTAGTCGTTTGCTTAGTTTTTTTTTGTTAGGTTCAGTTGTTAATAGCTGTGAGTTTGTGGTTATGTTACTGTTCATAGTTTTCATCTTTTTCTTAGATAAGTACCTTTAACATTTCATATAATAAGGGCTGGATGATGATGAACTCCTTTAACTTATGTGGGAAGCACTTGCTGAATATAGTAATCTTGGATGTAGGTCCTTGCCTTTCATGACTTGGAATACTTCTTTCCAGTCCCTTCTTGCCTGCAAGGTTTATTTTGAGAAATCAGCTGACAGTCTGATGGGAACTCCTTTTTAGGTAATTGTCTCCTTATCTCTTGCTGCTTCCAGGATTCTCTCCTTCATTGTAATCTCGGGTAATGTAATTATGATATGTCTTGGTGTGTTCCTTCTTGGGTTCAACATCTTTGGGACTCTCTGAGCTTCCTGGATTTCCTGGAAGTCTATTTCCTTTGCTAGATTGGAGAAGTTCTCCTGCATTATTTATTCAAATAGGTTTCCAATTTCTTGCTGTTCCTATTCTCCTTCTGGCACCCCTATGATTCTGATGTTGGAACATTTAAAGATGTCCTGGAGGTTCTTAAGCCTTTACTCATTTTTTTTTTTGAATTCTTGTTTCTTCATTCTGTTCTGGTTGAATGCTTCTTTCTTCCCTCTGCTCCAAACCATTGATTTGAGTCCTGGTTTCCTTCCCATCACTGTTGGTTCCCTGTAGATTTTTCTTTATTTCACATAATGCAACCTTCATTGCTGCTTGGGTCTTTTTTATGCTGTTGAAGTACCTGGTGAGTTCCTGGAGCAGCCTGATAACCAGTGTTTTTAACTGTGCATCTGATAGGTTGGCTATCTCTTCATTACTTAGTTGTATTTCTTCTGGTGCTTTGAACTGCTCTTTCATTTTGGCCATTTTTGTTTGTCTTGATGCATCTGTTAATGTAGTGAGGGGCGGAGCATTAGGTGTTCACCAGGGCGGGGCGGGGCAGTGCAGTGGCTGGGTTGTGATGCTGTATGGGGGGGCCGGGTCTGAGAGGGAACAATAGCATTTGCTCCGCCCTCTGCTGGATTTCATTCACTTCTGCTGCTTCCTATAAGGAAATTGGGTCCTTATGGTGCTGATTCCCAGTGAGTGGGCTTGTGTACCTTTCAGGACCCTGGGGGTCTCTTCAACGAACTCTCCTGTGAGGCTGGGAGTTTCTTTTGCTGACACCTCAACCCTCACAAGTGTTTTCAGTCGGTCATTTGAGGCTTTATTTCCTGAGCTGGGACCCTGGATTGCTCAGTCTGACCAGTACCAATTGTTTCTCCTGGTTTATCTGCACACAAGTGTGGGACTGCCAAGTCTGCAAGCCACTGCCTCGCCTGGTCTGCCAGCTGCCACCTTGTCCTCCCGGTCCTCCAGCCGTAGCTTTGTTTCGAGTCCTCTCCGCCCAGCTGCCCATCTCTGCCCCTCCTACCAGTGTGGATGAATGTTTCTTTAACTCCTTGGTTGTCTGACTTGCATACAGTTCAATTTTCTGTCAGTTCTAGTTGTTTTTTATTTTTTACTTTGTTGTCGTCCTTCTTTGGTTATGCAAGGAGGCACAGTGTGTCTACCTATGCCTCTATTTTGTCCAGAAGTTCCACTTTCTTCTTTTAAACCATTCCCTCAAAGCCTGCCTCGTCCCTGTTCTTTATCATCAAGACTTTTTCAAAGATTAGACTATACTCAGTTTTGATTTCCTCATATTGTATTCATTTTCAGCCATTGTTTGTATACTCTTCTTCAAAGGTCATAGTAAGCACCTAATTGTTTAATTCATTGATCTCTTTTCCATGTTGATAGAACTTGATGTCACTTAGCATTTGAATTTGCTGTTCAGTCTTTCTTCTTTCAAACGCTATATGAGTTTGTCATAATTGCCCCCCCCCAGCAAAGGTTTGGACTCTACCGGAGAATTTCACTGCCCTAGAAGGACCTGTCAGTTCATGGACCAGTACCAAACAGGGACATAGCATATGCTGCTAGTGTTTCCCAGGGTGATGCTCTCAAAGAAACCCTACATACTCACTGGATAAGTATGGAAGGGAGCAGAATGGCAGGCTGGCTACCCAGGAAGATTTTAGAAGGGATCCCTTGCTCAGTAAAGTAGTAGGGCCTTGAGCCTTCTGAATTTCATCATGGGCAAGCTCGAGCCAACTATGTTACCTGGTACAAGTAGCAGAGGCCCTCAGATGTACTGGCCCACCTAAGAGGGGCAGCATCTCCTGTAGAACAGTAAAAAGATACTTGGATCAGTAGAATGGAGGTAAAGTGTGGGTGAGAGCCATCATAGTTTCTGTTTTTGCTGGTTCCTGTGCCAGCAGGCACATAAATGCCATCACTTAGGTTTTACCTTAGTTGTTCTAATTTTTTATTCTTCTCCTGATCTTTCTCCCAGTTTTCATGGTTTTAGGTGTACTCAAATCTTTGTTAATCTCTCTCTGTAGCCACATTCTCTCCTGATTTCCAAACCATTATTTTAAGTCCCTCTGGACATTTCTACTTAGCCTCAGTGCTGTCTGGCATTTTTACTGCATTTTGTGGTCTATTCACACTGCCCTTTTTCAAAGCAGCTGTTTTCTTCCTTCTGAAACTGCCAAGATTTTTCCCTCTTGACTTACCTTTTGCTGTTTATTTCACAGAGATAGCACAGTTATCAGAAAAGAATTTTCCATCATCTCCCACCCACATTTACCCATCTGCCCATGTACCCTCCCTTCCCATCCTTTAACAGTGAATGGACCAAACTGGCTGCCATGTAAGGCCAGTCTGTGTGTCCACTGGATTCCACCCCTTATTGCATAACCAAGGACTCTGTTCTTTTAATTACCCCCTCTTATCCCTGCATCATTATATTTTTTATTCTGTCAGCTCTCCCATTATTGTAAGAATGTGCTGTAATACATCTCATCCTGACACCACTTCTTGACAGCTTATCTTCCTCCAGTTAATGGTGTTCCCCACCATTCCTCCAAAATCCCTTTACTGATGCCACCATAGACTTAGTTCTCACTTTATTTGACTTCTTGTCAGCGTGTGACACAATTGAACATTCCTTCTTGTTTTTTTGAAACACTTTCTTTACTTGGCCTTTAGGGCATTATACCCACTTAATTTTCCTCCTCTCTGACTTTCAATTCCTTTGCTGGATGCTTCTCATCTATCTGAATTATACATGCTGTTAAGCCTGAATCAATTTTCAGACTTCTCCTGTGTGTGTACTCCCTAGGTGGTCTTGTCCAGATTTGGAGTTATAAATACTAGGATTCCCAGATGCACATATCCAGTCCCCACATCTTCTCTGAACTCCAGACATATATCCAACAGCTTCCTTTGCAGTTTTTATCAAATATCTAATAGCCATCTCAAACTTAATATTTTCAAAAGCAAACACCAACCCTGACCCCCTATGGCTCAGCTGGTTGGGTGTCACCTTATAAAGTGAAAGGTGGCCAGTTCAGTTCCAGGTCAGGGCACATGCTTGCTTTGTAGGTTCCATCCCCACAGAGGGTATGTAGGAGAGGCAACCAATTGATATTTCTTTCCCTGTCTTTTTCCCCTCTTATCCCCTCTCTCTAAAAATAAAATCTTAAAAAAATTTAAAAAGCGAACTCTAGCTCTTTCTTCATCCTCAAATCTATACCTTCCCCAGGTCCTCATGTCAGTGAATTTGCCCATTGTGAACCTGGTTACATACACTAAAAACCTTGGGGTCATCCTTGCCTCCTTTTGTTCCCACACTGAAGGCATCAGTAAGTACTTTGTCTCTACTTTTCTTTTTTCCTTAAAGATTTTATTTATTTATTTTTTAGGAGGGGAAGGGAGGGAGAACGAGGGACAGAAACATCAGTGTGTGGTTGCCTCTCGAACACCCCCTACTGAGGACCTGGTCTGCAGCCCAGGCATGTGCCCTAGACTGGGAATCGAACCAATGATCTTTTGATTTGCAGGCCAGCACTCAACCACTGAGCCACACCAGTTAGGGCTGCACTTTTGAAAAAACATTTAGGTTCTGCCCGTGCCTTGCTGGCCCTTTCCAGGTACCATCAACTCTTGCTTGGACTGCTACAGTAGCCTACTGACAGGGCTCACTGCTGCCTCTTCACACTTCTGTTTATCCTGTGCGTCAGCCAGAATAACGTTTCGAAAGTATCTGTGAGATCTGCAGAGGCTTCCTCTTTTATCTAGAATAAAATACAAGTCCTAATTGTGGTCCTCATAATGTCCATTATCTGATCCTTTCTTCCTTCCAACTTCACATCCTAACACCCTCTCATCAGTTGTCGCCTTCAGACACACTGCCATCCTTACCAGTTCTCATATATACTAAGCAAGCTTCTCCTGTTCAGAGCCTTTGTATCTTCTCTCACCCTAGTGTTCTTTACCCCGATATTCAGGTGGCTCACTCCTTTTTTTCTTTCTCTCTTGACAGAGAGATGTTTCCCTATAGCATCCAGATTGGTATTCTCTTCCCCTGTCATGCAGTCATTTTCTTTCTTTTCTTTTCTAAAATTATAGTTTGCATTCAACACTTTTGTATTAATTTCAGGTGAATAGCACAGCAGATAGACATTCATACAGGTTAC